GGGGATTTAACTTAGAGCTAGAAGATGCATTTGCATTTTGGGGTTTACCTTTTCCTTATAAAAGAGGAGGGTGGATACCACGCCATTTCCTTATTACAACACAGCCATCACTGTGTCTGACTTCCTACAGTGTGAGTCTGGAGCAAGAGAGCATGGGGACTGCAAGGATCACAGGAAACACATCTTGGAGTGAGGTTGCCTTCCTAGCCCAAACTCTCCACCCAATTCTTCTGCTTCTGTATTTTTAATGCTCAGGTCAGTGCTAACATTTTTTCACACTTAGGTTCCTGAGTTCCTGGTTCTGATTAAGAGGACCACACTGCTTAGGTTTTCTTCCTTTTCCCACGCACGTGATTGGTTTCCATCTTTCCCAGAAAGTTAGCACGCCATCCGGTTGCTGTAGCACAGGGTCCACACCTGATTCTTGCTCCCTCCAGACTGTGGAATGTAGAGGAAACACCTGCTGGTAGAAGACTCTGCATCCCATATTCCCTCCTCCTGACTCAACTTCTAAGTCCTCCCCTTCCTAATACACCACTGTGCTGTCTTTTGAAGACAAACAGGCTTCTAGTGAATAAAATAAAATAAAGCAAAATGATATCAAAGAAAAAGTAACTCATTGCAACAGGACAAAACAAACAAACAAACAAACACTGGAGGAAAAGACCCCAAGAAAAGACACAAGGAACAGGTGTGGATGCAGAGACCACCTGATTTACATGCTCAAGAATCCCATAAATCAACAATTATTAGCTTACTACTATAAGAGAAGGAACTGTATTACAAAATAATATATATATATATATATATATATATATATATATATTTGTCAATAAAGCCATGTGACATATTGAGGCTGGGAAACTCCCAAATTCATTAGAATTGGATACCTGATGACATCTACTGATGTACCTGCAACCTATGCTTAGGAGTGATAGTTTCCCTCAGATAGGCTACCTTAGAGAAATCTCATTTTTCATTTGAAAGATGTCATCAATTGGAGATTGCTTCTGGACAGTGATGGGAAAACTTGTACACTTCTTTGTGCTCTAGAATCCCATCTTCTATGGACCCTTGCTGGTCCTACTTTTCCTATACAGAAACTGATTCCACTATGAGAGAAATTGTCTTTATAGTGAGTGAGACAGTCTTTGAACTGGGTCATTTCTGTTTTGTAGCAATCCCAGGAGTGTGACATAGATTATAATAACTAACTGATCTTGTGTCCTTCTAGGGGAGGGTTCTAACTGCCATAGGAGATGGTCTCCTGGGCCTTGTATGTGGTTAACTGAGAGGAACCAACTCTGAGTAGAGTCAGGAAACACCCTTTCTGGCCCCTCTGCACTTACTCTCCAGGCTCTGCATAACTAACTTATCCTTACTCTCCCTTTGTGCTGTCTCATGACAAACATAATTAGCAATGTTTGGATCATATGAACTTGACGTAATAATGGGCTACGTCCCTCTTTGTTTACTTTGACAGAAAACTGTATCCAGTTGATTAATCTCACTCCCATGTAGAGATTGCTCTGAAATGTGTATTGGCAGGTTTGTACTCTCTCAGAAATCCTGCTCAGATCATTGTACTCTCTCAGATATCCTGCACAGGTTATGGATGCTGTCCTTGGAATCTATTGTAACTGGGATGCATCAGGGGAGCCATAAGATGAAGTTCTGTGGGGGATAGAAGCTTTGTCTATTCTTGAGAAATGCATCCTGTCCCATATGAAGTAATACTATGAACCTTGCATAGGTCCAGATGGTTCAAAA